TGGAGGTCATCAAGTCCAACCCCCTGCTCAGGCAGGTAACCCTATACCATTTCGGACAAATGGCTGTCCAGTCTCTTCTTAAAAACTTCCAGTGTTGGAGCATTCACCGCTTCTGGAGGCAGGTTGTTCCACTGGTTAATTGTTCTAACTGTCAGGAAGTTTCTCCTTAGTTCTAGGTTGCTTCTCTCCTTGATTAGTTCCATCATGTGACGTTGCGTGATGTATCACGACTTTTTCTCCATTGCCATCAATGGGGTGGGCACGATTTCAGTATGGTGCATCCGGCCCGCGGACCGGTAGTTTGACATGCCTGCTATATTCCTTTAGTCATAATAAACTTGCCTAAGATATGATTTTAAAAATGGATGTTGACATTGAGACTGGCTGCATTTTCTCCCCCCAATACTCCCATGCAGTGGACAATGAGGAGACTGCCTTGCTGCATGAGGAGGCTGCAATGACTATTGAAGAGCTTCTGACTCGATACGGGCAAAACTGTGTCAAGGGCAAGCTGGGCCCACCAGGCAAAGATGTAACCCAGGAGGATGCCCGGGAGCCAAGTTTGAATGGTGAAGTAGATGCTGAGGAGCCCTTGAGGCATCATAAGGAGGCTGAAGAAGAGGAGAAAAATGGCAAATTGTGCTCTGAGACCATCAGTACCTCCCATGGTCCAGATGTGGCTGGTGGAGGGGATGCTGGTACTTGCCAAAAAAAGACCTCTGAGGGAGCATCTCCTACCAGTGGTGAGATGGAGCCATCCTGCTCGTCTGCAAGCAAGAGCCAGCAAGTGATCAAGTCAATGTTCTTTGAGGACAGTGAGGATGAATCAGAGGATGCAGAAGAGGAAGAAGATGACGATAGTGAGGTACCATCATCATTTGGGCAGTGGGGGGAGGGGCACTTTGTCCTTCCATAGCTGAGCTGAAAAAGCAGAACTTAGCCTTCTTTACAGGTGAAGGCTAAGAAGAAGAAGGTGCCCCAGGTCCTGCATGCAGGACAGCAGCCAGAGCCATGGGGTCAATTTTATTTCTGTTATGGGTGGATGTATTACATTTTGATTAGGAATGCAGTGAGGATGAGGATAGCTACAGCAGTGAGGAAGAAGAATATGATACTGAAGAAGCAGAAGAGGAAGATGATGAAGACATGATGCTCCCAGGAATGGAGGGCAAAGA